ATGGGCTGATACACTCAGCACAGGTATCGGATTGGATTGGGAGAAAATGGATCAGTGCAGCTGTGGTTGAAACATCAGCAGACCTGCTTCTGTCCTGGTAGTTACTCAGCTGCCAGCTCATTAAATGACAGGGCTGTGTGTGTATTTATTTTAAGCACGATGGTTGTGACATGGTCGCTCAGAATGGATTTTAATGTCAAAGATGAATGGTCATTATAAGGTCTGAGTCAGCTATGTAAACACCAGGACTAAATGGGGTTTACCACAATGTTTGCTGTGAGCTGTTGGCCAGTGGTGTAAAGCAGCTCTAAAAGAAACCAACAGCTCTTAAACTGGCAAATAAACAAAACATTTTACTACTCAGATATCCAAAATGGAAGAAAAGACAATCTGCGAAAAACTACTATTATACAATTAGGTGGTGATGGGGAAAAATTGTATTACAAATTTATCTTGGAAAATGTAATACCAATAGTGACATAGAGGCCTCTGATTATTAATGTAATCACTATCAATACACTGACTTGTGTTCATCATGTTTCTGCTATCACATCATAAGCAAAACAAATACCAATAAACACCTAAACAGTTGGCCTCATGCAACATTTGTACACGCCACATCAGATTCAACAGACGTTCTTAACGTCAGTAAATGATTGTAACTGATTCTCTTAAATGGGACGGAGTCCGCCTGTGAGTTATGCTATGTTCAGGCCTCAAGTGCTGGAAGCAGCAAAAAAGCTTCTGTTGCTTAATTTTTTATGCTTGTACACTTTAAGGTCTGATGCTCCTAAAGTGCATCTTTAACGCTCCTGAAGCACGTCCAGTAAAGTGTGTTCAGATGCGTCTTCTGCTGCTCCTGTGTGCAATGGCAGAGAGCGGCTTTCCTATATTTGCTGTTATAAGTGGATAAAAACAAGTTTTAATAAAAAGTCCACCTGAAAACTTAATCTGTGGAGTCAGTTCATCAAGATTACGATCCTGTCTTCAAATATTATTTTGCTGTCTGAGCCGCTTAGACCCCTGTACACCGGCGGTGCTCTGTTCCTGTAAATCCCCTTCAATGACAGCCTCTGTCCCGGTCACCTCTTGTGGGTTTTCCGCTACCATTACTGTGCTGGAAGGCATTTTTCATGTATGCATTTCAAACTACAGGCACCAGAATAATAAAAGAGAACATATTATGCTGGCAGGTTTCAACATTTCAAGTTAATTTAGGCTTTAATAAACTGTTTCAGGGGAGTGATCATATTGATCTGCATCAGCAGTGCTGTGTCTGTCTCCCTGCCAGCTCCCACAACAGCTTCTCTAATTGGTCGTGGCGCGTCGAGCAGCAAAAGTTAATCCTACTCCAGCAGCTGCTGCTTCTAAAACATCTCCAGCGCCTCAGAAGCTTAGAAGCTGAAGAGTTGCTGCTTCAGCTGCTCAAATGCATCAAGATGCGTTACTCCTGCGCTGCAGGAACTTTTGATGAGTGTCAACCATTGACTTTCCATGTAAATCAGCTGCATGTGCTGCTTCTGCAGCGTGCAGTCTGAACGTAGCATAAGTCAGTGGGCCTTCCAAAAAATGGAAATGTATAAAATAACTGTCTTGATAATGCCATATTAGGTCTCATATAAGCAGACGTGGGTCACATTTACATTTACTTCAGTAATAAAATTAACTTTTAGGAGAGTTTTACAGCAACTTATGTTTTTTTACCTTTACTTCAGTAAAAATAATTTAATGTATCACTACTTTTACTTAAGTAAAATTTCTGTATACCTCCTCTATTGTGAGTAACTTCACTTAGCGTTAACAAGGTTGTTTTAAACAAATATGCATCATTGAGAAACAGACTTTCTTCTTTTTTGTGCTCAAAGATAAATGTTATTTTCCATCTGGTGAGTCTGCAGTGTCATTTGGAGGTTGAGTAATAATACAGCAACAGTATGATGTAATTTAACCTATTCTCACAAATTGTAACTGTTGATTTTTTTACATAAATCGAAAAACTATTAAATCTGTAATTTACCAAAGTCTGTTAGTCCCAAACCTTCGGTATTTAGTTTAATAACAAAACCAAGGAGCTGATATGGAGTGAAATTAATTAGTCTCACCGTAAGCGGAGCTTTGCTAAACTTTCCATCCGTTTTCTGTTCCAGATGTTAGTTCATTAGTAGCTTGATCTCTAGCTCTGGTTCGTTCTTTTGACAAAATACCAAAAACTAAACCAGTGTCCCCTGGATACTGACATGTAAGCTGCAGGCGTAGTGACCAACATTTCAACATCATACGCTGATAAATTAAATATTTAGAATTGTGGATTAACATAACATTTAATTATGCAGGCTAAAAATAGTCAACACTTCTAAGTACAACAAACATTTTAATTTGGTTAAAAACTGGATTTGGATAACAGCTGACTGATTGAGCAAGACTCCTAGATGAAATCTAGAAAATGAAGAGAAAATTAGAAATAGGAACAAAATGATGAATGCGACATTTTCTCCTAAATCACTTGTATGAACAATCTAGAAACGAATTGTACATACAAACGGTTATTTCAGAGGCCCAGTGTTCATATTGTTTTTTTTTTTTTTAAATACCTCTGTAATATCTCTCATCGTGGCTTGAAAATACAAAAGAAAGCTATCCCTAACAACAGCTGTGAGAAAACATACAACCAGGAGATGGAAAAGATTATCAAGGGAAGTACTGGCACTTTTTTTTTTCAATTAAAGCCCTGTGGGAGCAAACCTCCTGTTAACCAACATAATGAACATGTTTAATGAGAAAAATAAGTAAAAAATGGTTTTTAAAAATGAATCGAATTGTTATAAAGAAATTCAAGGACAGATGTTAGTGCATTGCACTGCCTCTTTAATTGACTGCCTGTGCTGGCCATTCTTCTGGAAAGTACAATAAAAAAAAGTGAGTTTACTGTATAAACTGAAGATGTTCATAATGTACTATGAGGTCCATCTGCTGATCCTAACAAGAATAAAGCCTTTTAAAAAATCAGTTTTCCTTCTCGTTATCTAATGACTTACATTTATATTAACAACTCAAAATTTAAATCTTATCTGTTTTCTAAGACAAAAAGCTTTAGACTCAACACATACATGCAAATGCACATATATATATAATTTACTTAATAGTGGAGATGACTCATGTGGTTATGCAACATGAGAGTTAGCTTTCTTACAGGTGAGGACAAACCCTCACAGTCTGCTGGGGAAGGACACACTGGTTGTGGCTACATCTGCTGGAATCTGGTCTTTTAATTAAAAAAAGAGAGGATTCTGAATGCAATATATTTTAAACCACACTTTTGAATAAATATAACCCAAACCTAATGTTTTGGGTGGGTGTTTACTTTGTTGCTTAGCTGGTAGTGCATTATTCAAGAGGTCCGTGCCTCCCAAACCAACAAGGCCGCTGCCCTTTTAAGACCACAGCCAATTCACTGACAGGATTGTGCTCAAAGTTAAAGGGACATTGTAATAGTTTAGTTTGTGACTATAAAAAAATTACAATCCGGATAAAATAAGGTAATAAACACTAAGATTCCCTGTGTGCTTTCAGTCATTTTTCAGCCTGAATAGAATTCCTACACAATGAGCAAACATAAAAAAAAAACCTATGCTGCATCTGCTGGCAGTATTGACACAGCTACTTCATAGAGACCAACTGTCCTGCAATGCCTCTTGTTTTAGTACAGTGCCATGCATGCACTGACACAAGATTATATTTGCTGCCTGTCTGGTTACAATAAAGCCAGCTCCTGATGTCTACAAGTTTCTGCTGACATCTTCTGTCAGAAAAATTCCAGTATCAACAACAAAAGCAAAGAGACAGCTGGCATTGTCCAAGACCAATTCGATCTACAGCAGCAGATGTTCTAGTGAATCTTTTTCAAGAGTCCACAAGCAGAGCATCAAGGAATAAAGAAGCATCACATTCTTTCCAAACCATAACAGGGAAAAAGCATCAAGGTAAGAAATATTTACATTTTTTTGGCAATGTGGCGATAAGAATAATTGTCCTAATGCCAAAAAGAGCCCAACAGATTTTGCATTCACAAGTGGAGCAGTACGGCTATCGCCATAGTGTTCCGCTTGATTTATGCATATAAATCTTTATTATAATTCATGCAGGGAGTATTACAGATTATATGGACACTGCAATGTAATTAGAACAGTAAGGAAAAACAGAAAAAAAGGAGAAAAGATGAAAGAAAGAGGTGATAAAAGGGAGATAATGATCTGCAATGTGCTTCATCACCTGTAAAGAGATGTAAAAAGAACAGCACAACCAACAGATATAGTATAAGAGATACAATAAATTAACACCTTGATTCTATCGCTGAGGTATAAGTAGTATAATTGAATCTACCATGTATACTGCGGTAGCTGAAGATCAGAATATGGGCTTTCTGTATGATATATTTAAATTTAAGAAATAAAAAAAAGGCATAAGCAAAAATGAATCGGAATGAACGCAAATCAATCACAATCCGACAGGAAACAGGGTTGAGAGAGAAGGGGGGAAGCCTTGGGGCAAAGGTTGAGAGGCCAGGACTCAAACCTCAAACAATTGTAAAAAAAAAAAAAAAGTGTGGGTCATTAATGCCACTAAACCACAGATAGATACCATGTATCTATGACTTTTTTGTTGGTAAATACTGGCTTTGATTTTTATGAGTTACTAAACCTTATAAGCTGCAAAATTTTTTATTCTATAATTACATAAATGCATAGAGGCGTTTAAATACATAAAATAAAGTAAAGGGAACATTTTTAATTGTTTGAGTTTAGCAACGTTCTATTGTAAACATCCTACAAGATAGAAACCCTTGGGGAAACAATTATTGTGGTAATTTATGAAACTTTAAACGTTGCAGTCTAATATTTGCAACATTTACTATTTCTTTAAACCTTATTTTTTTTTTCAGTTAAACCTATTAACAGTTGTAAGACCAGATGAGAAAAATCTAACCCATCATGTTGACTCACCGTGCATTCCTTCTTCATCACTATCATAATCCTCACCGTCATCACTGATGAAGCCGAGCTCGCTTTCACTCTTTTTCCTGTCAGACATCCTAACCCCGCGGTGGCTGCTGTCTCAGCATGGCCACACTGCATGCGCCTGCAACACAGAGATCACAAGCAGCATGAGTAGTACGGGGTGAAATCTGTTAAATAACTACTACTGTATGCTGTGTTGCTTTGTGCCACCAGCAGAGGCCGTAATTGAAGAAAGTCAAAGTACAAATGTTTTTTTCCACACATTTAATTTGTCACAAAAATAGGTTACTTTTAATTGAGAAAATAGACCTCAGAATCTCATCTGTGTAGTCAGTTTATCAAGAATTTGCCTTCTTATTGATGCCTGCTTTCAGAGTTTGCAGAGTTGCAGAGCTCTGTACTGGCTGCTGCTTTAGCCAGGTGTAGGGAGTGGTGTTTCACTGCTACTTTAAGTTTGGCCGTTCATTCATTTGCTGTGAATTTCTTGAAAAAAACAAAGTTTTAAGATGTTTTAAGAGAGAAAGTACACCTCAAAACTTCACATGTAGGCTGATTATCAAGATTGTGAGCCTACTTTCAAATATGATCTTAGTTTTCAAAGTGGTGTAGTCCAACAGACAGATCAGATGATTCACTAGTTAACCAACTGGCTGAATGCTATTTTCCTTTTACCCAGGTTTTAACTCTAATAATTACAATTTCAACTAAAAACTACTTATTTTGTTTAAGCTGAAGATTTGATACAAAATGTACCTTGTTGTTTTTATAATAAAAGAAAAATAAGTGTGCCAACAGTACTTAGTAGTCAATGCAATTATTCTTGCATATGCAAACCCCACAACTCTATCCGTATGCAGATCGATAAAACATTAAGTTAAAATAATTTTGTAAACATTTCCTGCATATGGATGCAGAGTGACTTAATTAATCAACTGCATAACATTGAAGCTGGTAAGAAACTATTATTTATTAGTGGAAACAACAAAAACTTAAAAAAGATCAGTGCAATTTAAAGGGAGTTCTTCTGAACCGCTTCCCACTGGACTGAAGGTATACTGTAGTGCAGTTTTTTTCCTAGGCTGATTAAGTAAATGTCCTGGGCCTTTCAGACTAATGGAACCAGAAGAACCACATTACAAAAGACTAGATAGTTAACAAGCTATCGTCAAATGAAGATGAAAGTTGTACTTAAGTTTAAAGTTTATACTTGCATCAGACATATGGACAGACATTTTATTTTGGGTGCAATCATAAGCAGCTGAACTCATGTGACCATGCATGTGTGAGCCTGACATGAAGCCTGTCGCTTCAACTCAAGGCTAAAAAGACCAGCTGCCATATCTGTCTGATTATCCTCAGATTTTCTTTACAAAAAATAATGGCTGGAACTAATGATCCAAATGTTTCTTCCCCTTAAGGACTGTATGTGAGGTAGAAAACTGGAAGAAGCAAAAACACGGAGACAAACCTTCATACACCGATTTACAACTTTAAAAGCAAACAATCAGTAGCTGAAATAAAATTATTCTTCTTTAACTTAATCTCAATTTGCCTTCTGCAGCTTAGGAAGAAATTCATAGATAAACAGACCTGGAGAAAGATTTGAAAGACCGTTTCTGAAGGAGAATAAAAAAGGTCAAGATGACCCACATATTGAGGGCGCTGCTACAGAGTAGATAGAAAAAAAAAATAATACTCCAGGAAGAGGCATAAAGAGCCAGGCAATGAGCTCTCGTTTAAGGATGCATAAAAGCTTCACCCTCAGCAATAGAAAATTACACTGAGTTTAGTACTAAGATTTCCTTTGAACTCCTGCAAGTAATAAAAGACAGTGGACCCATATTTAAGGACATTTTAGCAAGATGTACACTAAAGTGTGCCTTGGTAAAAAAAAAAAAAATTGCTCATTTTAGATAGAATTAAAACTAAGTCATACATAAATCACAAATCTTACCCATTAAGCAGTTGCAACCACTTTAAAGGCACCAAGGTTGGAATAATAATGAATTATGAAGTGTTTAGAGAAACTGATTTCTGAAAAAAAATACAAATTCTCAACATTTTTGTTAATCTTGTGTCATTTATGATCGATTCAGGGTTTTGCTTTATTAAAATGATTAACAGAAGCATAGACAGTATCGCAGGCAGGGTCATTCTTGACCACCTTGCATAACTTTATGCAGCAGATTACATAACTTTCACCAAATCAAAGTTTTTTTATTTTTAAGATTTTGTAATACATGTTGAATGTGTTGGACTTTTATACTGCCACATTCTAATTAATGGAATGTGGCAGTATAAATAATGTACTATGTAAGATGATGTGTTCACTGCCAGTGTGAATAATGTATCTATTTACAAATCGTCCATGCAACGGGGCAATTTATAAACTATTTGACTTAGAAAATACTAAAGACAGTACTAACGGCACTTGAAATTGCAGAATACTTCAGTCTAATGCAAAATGTATTGCAAAGTACTGCAATGACATAACCAGATGTTGTATGAATTAAGAAACAAGACAACATCAAATGTACTGAGAAGAAATTCTGTTAAATTTTACAGCAACCCGACTCTAAAATTTTTATGTTTAAAAGCAAGGCACAAACAAGTCTGGCAGATATATAGTATAGCTTGTAATTAGCAGTTAGAAACCGCATGACTCACTGCAATGAAGCTTTATGTGACCTTATGCTTCAAAGAAAAGACAGCAAAACTATTTTGTACATGAGAGACATTAAACGACCCATTTCTTAACACAGCCATATAGCATTCTGCGTACAGTTGATGATCTGAGGAGCTCTGTGATTTCCTTAAGCACGGGATAAATCCTTCTTCTTAAACATGACCTCTTTAACACTCCCAATATTAATCTACCCAATATCCCAAAAGCCCATTTCAGTTTTTAGGACATTGAACAGGTAGTTTTTTCAGCTATGGGTTAAGAACTTGTTTAATTACAGTTTCTTCCTTGTTTTTATACTTGCACATTCAGTGAGAGACCCATAGTCATTATATAATACATTACCTAAAGGTACATTTTTCCATCTCACAAAATTGAGATATATACTGTAATTCATTATTTGCTTCAGCTGCAGGTGGTTTTAATTTGATGCTTCTATTCAAATCAGTATAGCCTCAAGGGGACATGTTGCAGGGTCAGTTTAGAGTGGCTTCTGGTAATTGCTATGCAGAACATTTTGGTTTTGTGTTCACTTAAAAGAAGATCATCTTTCTGGAACTTCTGCTTGGTTGTTGCTGAGAAACAAGGGATTGATTTTTCTTAAAGTAGCAAGCCATACATATAAATGTTCTGCACTTGTGATAGTTGTGATTCAAGTTATATCCAAACAGATACAAATTTGGTTATAATTAAGTACAGTCTAATTAAAATCAATTAAAAGATGTATTATTTTGTTAATCCTGTAGTAAATCAAAAATGTTGCAAAGAGTTATGTTACACACATCTGGTCAAATAAGTAATCTATAAGCAAAGCATTAACAGTCAAACACTCTTGGAACACCTTGGGCCTTCTTCGGAGGAACTGGAGAAGCTGTCCGTGGTAAAGAGAAAGCCATGGGTATGTTGTGACTGCTGTTTGGTCCCAGTTCTTGTTAGGGTCTCTTTCTGTGTTTTTCTGGTGTCAGTGAGCTTCCTGTCACAGAGAGAACATTTCTAAATAAAGAGGACTAGCTGGATATAAGGAGGTGAGGGATAATCTCTCTTTGCTGGATGATTACCCACGATGGCAACCAGTGAACCTCAGTTCATCTCCAGTCTTCATGGAAAAGGTCTTACCTGTGTGCATCAACCAGAGTTCAACTGACTTCCTGCAGTTCTCCGCTTCCAGATTTTTTTTGCTTTTTGTAACTAAATGTTAAAATCCACTGGTTCTGAGTGATTCTGCATATGGGTAAAAAAAAAAAAAAACTACAAACAAATATGACAAATAAAGCAGAGATTGGCTGAGTGTACGTTTGGACATTTTTTTGAAAATATGACTTGGGAAACCTTGTCATTAGAAAATGGCTCATATTCGGAGGAGAAGAAACTTAAACCCATCAATTTCACCGAGGTTATTGCATTGATCACAACAGTTTTGCATCAAAAAGCCATTTGACTAGTCAAGTGGCTTTTTCTTTGTAGTCAAAAGAAAGCTTATATAATATAAAAAATTGCATCTTGAGGAATGAATGCAAAAAATTTTCAGCTTTGAGGGGGTAAGTTTTTCTGTGTTTGACACCTCTCCATATACTAATCAGTTCATATTTAAAGGTTTTCATCAAAATTATTTATAACAAAATACAGCTACAGACTGTATAGCTGCTGGCTAGAGTTAAGTACTTTACTGATAAAACATTGCCTATAAATAATCGAATTTACATAAATAATGGAGTTAACTTTTTTTGTAATGCCTAAAAACGTATATAAATGTACCGGTATATATTTTGATCTCTGGTTGCAATGTCGACACAAAAGCATTTTGCACCAATAGGAATAGTTGGTTGAAGTCACAGGAGATGGAGCTCAGGCTTTGCCAAATTCTAGTAGCTCGGTGATGGTGCTGAGAAATGGTTTCTTCTCTGTGCTGCATATCTCAGGTTTAAGACAAAAAAGCTTGTGAGCTTGGTGCCGACTTAAGGAAGCAAAGGGGTTCAGAAGCCAGGCACTTGGGCAGGTAATTTACATGTTTGCTAATGCTAATCTTTTGTAAGCAGTAGCATTGGCAAACCAGGCACTGATGCAGGAGAACTGAAGGTTGGAACAAGAACACAGAGTGAGAGTCAATCGCCTACTGATCCGAAGCAGCTAAATTTGTATCTATCTCCTTTTGGTTTCCCCTTTTGTCTCATTTAATTGGTTTGTTGTTTTGAAGGTTTTATTTTTTACTAGTTCTTTTAAGTAGAGTTCTTTTATTTATTTTTTTAGTTTTTGTTTTTCTGTGGCTTAAATTAAAAAACCCTTCATTTGAAATTGAATGTGTGAATGATTTTCATTTAAGTCTTGGTTTATCACACTTGCATTGTATCTAACAAGGCCAAGGACTAACAAGGCAGATAAAATAAAAGCATATTTTTTGAAACAAAACTGTAAAACATACACTTTAGAAGGGAAAATTT